TACACTTGGTTTCCGAAAATGCCAAATTTCAAAAGGTGTTCAAAACTCAAACACTGCTTTCGTGATGCATCTATTTGTCAGAAACACTGCGACACTACAAGCTAAATACCAGAAAGTTTGAGGAACACCGCTCTCAAGCATCAGACAACGGGCTTTAGTGATCACCGTACGATTTCCTCGTTCAGACACTCCATTCTGCTCGGGAGTATGACCGGCAGTTAGGTGAAGTGAAATACCCAATGAGTCAAGTTCAGGTCCGAGCAGATTGTTGAGGAATTCACCCCCTCGATCCAGAGTAAATTGTTTAACCTTGCATCCGGTTTGACGCTCAGCCAAGACAATGTAGTTCTTAAAGACTCGAAACACTTCTGATTTTGACCTATCAGTAAGACTGAAGATGTGTCTGTAGCTTGAATAGTCATCACAGAATAGAATGTAGTAAGATTCATTTCTCAAGCCTTTAATATGATTTATTCCACTAATATCAACATGAACATTTTCTAAAAAGTTTTGAGCACGTGGACGGGAATGATTGAAAGGTAATTTTGTATTTTTGGAGATAGGGCACACATCACAGGACACTCCTTCTTCCATATCCGTAACCACACCATCAAGACTACCATGTTTGACCATATTATCAATGTAAGTTTTACTTATATGACCTAAACGTCGATGGAGTGTCGATGAGCATGAATGAGCTAATGATTCTGATGGCGAAGTAAGATTAGAAGCCAGTGGGCTTACGGGTTCAATGACGACGTTCATAAGTCCATTTTCGAGAATGACACCGTTGAAAAGAGCAAGGCCGTTTCTAACTAAGGCGAAACATGTTGGATCAGTTGGATCAAACGTTTCACGGACTCCACCGGCAATAAGGTTCTTGCTAAGGTCGGGTACAAGAAGACATTCAGTGAGTTCGAAGACAGTTCCATCTCCTGCTTTCAGATGAACTTTTCCAATTCCCTCAACGGCTAATGTTGCATCACCACCAGCTAGTTTAATTCTTCGATTAGGATCATCGACAGGTTTAAGTGAATCATTGACAAAGAAAGATTGAGAATTGAACATATGGTTAGTTGCTCCAGTATCATGGAGACCCCACAGAGTGCCGGTAGTTTCGGAGGTGGACATATTGGCGGAAGGAGCATCTTTCTAGTGAAATTAATTTCAAAACTAGTATGAAGCGACATCATTTCGAATGATTGGGTCACACTGTTTGTGGAAGCTGGAGTTACACGCTTCATACCCCTGACTTGAGTATTAGAAGATTGATTTCCTGAGTTCATGTTTGACCTGGGATTCCAACCAGTTCGATTTGATCGGCGTCGTGCCAAGAAATCATCCCGTTCTTTGAAGTTTTCGGGTTTTGACCAGCATTTTTCAGAGGGATGAGGACCTTTGCAAACGGTTTCAGTGCATTCGAAGCGACGAGGTCTTGTGGCGTTACTGGCAGAGAAATCGACCGGTCGAGCGTCACGGGTAGCCTCCGTGGAAAAATTGTGCCGCAAGTCGTAGTCTCGAAGATATTTGATCATGTCTTGGCGAGTCAAGGGAGAGACTGTTGAATGAATAAACTCTACCGTGGATTCGGAAAGACAATCTATGGAGTCAATGAGACGTAACGCTGATTGAGTGTCGTCCATCTTACCACCGTATCTGGTGAACTCAATAAACAAGTTTTCGAACTTATCCAGATAAGCTGAGAGAGTATCGCCCCTAGAGATGGTTATGTTACTGAGGGACTTTGAGATGGAAGCAAGACGTTGTGCATTTATTAAGAAATGTCGTTCTTTGAGAAAAGACCAGAGTGAAAAGGGATCATGGATTATCGAATTTGGATCTTCGGGATTTGTAAGTCGATTAATTGCCTGACTGTGATTAGACTTGTCTAGTCTATTAAGTATGTAACTGACGATGACCTTCTTAGTCTTTTGGACTTTATCACTAGAGAGCTCTTTATCATTGAAGTCTTTGATCGTGACGTAGTGATGGAGCTCCAGGGTTTCCAAGTTGTCAAAGATAGATCGGTTCCAAGTGGAGTAATTACCATCTTCGAGATCTTCAGTCACTTTGGACTTGCTCAAAGCTATCAACCACGGTTGAGCCCTACCTTTGTAAAGCATTTC